TCAGCACGCGCAGTTTCCAACATTTCGCCCTTCTCTCTAGTCTAAATCTCCCTCTTTTAGTTCCAAACCATTCCCCCTTGTCCTAACACAACAGACCCTTCTAAACAGTCTGTCTCCATCTTTCTGACAGGCCCTTTTAAGCACGGGAAGCCTGACATATCCTGGCCACCAGCCTGGCCACACCATCATCACTCTGCCCCTCCCTTGACCTCCACGCCCTGGCAGACACCAGCACCCCCTTCCTCTGCCCAGCTGTTTTCTCAGTGTAGTCCCTCCAACACCAGAGCATCTCTGGTTCACCACCACCTCTCCTACCTGTTGTTGGCAGTGAAGTTGGCTGCCAGGAGCACGGCAGCTTCCTTCCTCCTCATCCCAACCGCTGGCTCGGCGCCGCAGGGGACGGAGATCGCTCGTGGCTGATCGTCCTGCCAGGGAACCAGCAGCAGGTCCAACCTCCACCAAACCCAGCCAAGGGCTTGGGCAGGCAGAGCCCCCAGCCCACCTGCCCGCCCTGGCACGCCCCTGGCACGCCCCCAGCCTCACCAAGATGTTCCATGTGGTTTTCTTTTCCGGGGAGGTTTTGCTCAGACTCGCTGGTTTCTTTCTTCCCCCAGAACTGCTCTCAAAGAAGGTCAGGAAGTCTCCTGGCTGCTCTGAGCTGTAGCCCGAATCCAGGGAAGGCAGAAAATCAGAGAAGCAGAGGAGTTTGGTTGGAAAAGACCTTCAAGGCCACTAAGTCCAACTGTTAACAGAGCACAGCCCCCCCCACAACTAACCCACGTCCCTCAGCGCCACATCTCCACGGCTTGGAAACCCCTCCAGGTCTCCAGCCAGTTTATAACCCCTGACACGCAGGACAGAGCCCAATGCACATTTTGGAGAGGTCAGAGGATGGGTGGGGGTTCACACAGCCCCACCCACGGGCCAGAGGGACAGGGGCTGTGGCTGGAGCTGTACCTGCGTGGGCTGTTCACCCGCTGGTTGACCTGGGTGGTGCTGTTGGATCTCCGGAGGTTGTTCATGGCCCGGGGTTCTGCATCTCCCTGAGGAGCAGAGACATCAAATTCAGCAGTGATATTGAAGAGAAGCACAGGGAGGCAGAGTGGAGATGCCTGGCCCAGGCAGGCTCCCCCTAAAATGGCCCGTGGTGCCACTCCCCCTTCAGCACAGCCCTGACTGGGTGTTTCTGATCCCCCCACGATGCCTGTGACACCCCCAGGCTGCCAGTATCTCTGTGAGGCAGAGCACACTGACACTTCTCTCCGTGCTGCTGCTGAGCCAGCCCTGACACCTCCTCTTGTGCCAGCTGAGAGGGGCCGTGCTCCTCCAGCCCCCCAGGCAGACTGCCAAGGCAGCCAGATCACTCAGCAACGGGCACAGAGACCCAGCACCACGGGGGACAAACAGAGCCTGGGAAGCACCCGGGGCTTGTTCACTCTCCCTCTGGAAAAACTCCCAGGGAACCCCCCACCCAGCCAGACCCCGAGTTCCCAGCT